GGGTTAAGGGAGAGGCACATGGCCAGGTTTCAGGGTACCGTGTTCTTGCCACTGAGCCACCCCACCTGGCACTAAAGACCACTCTGTCGTCTGGGAACCAGGTGTCTGCCTGGGCATCTGTCTCTAAGGAGGCAGGGGGAGACAGCACCTTGCGAAGAGGACAAATGTCATCGCCATGGTCACGTTCCTCATTGAGAGGCAAGGCGCTCGCTCCCTGATTCTCAGCCAGAGCCCACCAGCCCCTGCAGCTGGCTAGGGCCTGCTGCCCTGCCCTCCAGGCCTCCCGCCCCTCAGGAAGAAGTACTTACCCTGAGGAGGAGGGACAGCAGGTCTTCAGAGCGCGCCCACTGCTCCAGGACGCCGTCCAAGGTCTCAATGTACCAGGAGCCACTCTTCTTGTCCCTCCAGGAGACAAACCCTGTGGGAGGAGAGGACCGGACTCTGCCGGAGCAGCGTGGCACACTCCTTGGCAGAGTATGCGGGCTACGGCCAGATCCAGACTGTGGCTCACAGACAGGTGGCAAGGGCGGCCCCATCCCCCTGTGGCTCCCCGCTACTCTTCACCCTCAACCCCACTTGACTGGCGGTGGCTCCCATCTCCTCAGTCTGGAAACCAAGGTTCTGGGAAGTCAGGGGTCTCAAGAAGGTTGGAGGATGTACCTCACGGCTCCCTTACCGCCACACACCCAACACTGCGCTGAGGGAGGTGCCGGCCCCTCCCTCGTTTACTCTGCAGGACAACCCCAAAAGGTTACTGTTCTTAATCTGCAAGCCAGTCTGAAGCCGCACCTGCTCCCCCCAACCCCCACCCCGTGAGCAGCGGCTTAGGAGAGGTGAAGTGATTGCCAAGGACCCCCGGCACAGGTGAGCTCACCTGGAAAGGTGGAATAGGATACGAGGATGTCACTGGGGGTGGGCAAACTTGACACAGCGTCCAGCTGGTCAGAGGTCCTTGGGCCTTCCTGGTACGGGACAGCGTCTGGCTCAGAGTCGCTGTCAAAGGCGCCACCTTGAGAGGAAGGGCAGGCCACCTGAAAGCCATGGTCTTTCTGCTCTGCAGGGGCAAAAACAGACACCCAATGTCACCACACTGTAGAACACTGTAGCACCTGGACCTGAAGGCGTCACTTGTGAATGCTGCCAATGTTGGAAGGAAACTGGAGCTTCATATGGTGAAGCACACCTGTTTTGTCTTGAGACAGGGTCTCACTATGCAGCCCTGGCTGGCCTTGGACTCACAGAAATGCATCTGCCTCTGCCTCCCCAGTGCTGAGATTAGACACATAAGCCATCAGGCCTGGCAGAGTATTAATTTTTAATTGTGTGTGGAGGTGAGGTTTGTGCACATGCATGCAGTTGCACACAGCGGCCACAAGGGGGTGATGGATCCCCTGGAGCTGCAGTTAGTGGAAGCTGCCCAATGTGGTTGCTGGGAACTGAACTGAGTCTTCTCCAACAGTATGTATGCACTCTTAGCCCCTGCGTCATCGAACTGGGTCCTTTATACAGTATGCACTCTTTACTGACCCATCTCTCCAGGGCCTGGCCTTGAATTTTGATCACCCTGCTTTGGCTTCCTAAATAGCTGAGATTACAGGTCTGTGCTAACAGGCCCAACCATTTGTATTTTTTGAACTACCCTAATCATTTTATGGTATCCCAAAGAGGAAATCCAAACTATACCAAAAAGGGGGCCAACAAGATGGCTCAGTAGGTACAGGCACTTGCTGCCAAGCCTAATTAGCTGGGTATGATGATGTATGCCATTAATCCCAGCACATGGGAGGCAGAGCCAGGTGGATCTCCAAGTTCAAGGCCAGCCTGGTCTACAAAGCAAGTTCCAGGAAGGCCAGGGCTACACGAGAAAGCCTGTCTCGAAAACTCAAAAAAATAAAAAGAGGTCTGAAGAATAAGACCATGCATATATGTGGGACCAAAATCCTACTTGCTACTGAAAGTGGGTGAGATTGGGAGAAGCAGACAGGCAAACTGTCGCTGTCCTGGAAGCTGGCATCCCACTCAGCTCTGTTCCTAGTTCCCTGTCTTTCAGGGGTCAGAGCTGGTGCGCCATCGCAGACACCCTAGATCAGGAACAGGGTGAACAAGGGGCATCTCCGTGGTGAACAAGGGGCATCTCCGTGGTGAACAAGGGGGCATCTCCATGGTGAACAAGGGGCATCTCCATGGTGAACAAGGGGCATCTCCGTGGTGAACAAGGGGCATCTCCGTGGTGAACAAGGGGCATCTCCGTGGTGAACAAGGGGCATCTCCATGGTCTAAGAGCACAGGGCAGCTTCTCCCACCGTGCTGTCAACATTCTGCTGAAAGAGCATTGGCAACAGGAGGGGCATGAGGTGACCCTGGGCCCTGCGGCAGGGTGGGGGGAGTGCAGGAAGGGATCCCCTGGGACAGAATGGCCAGAGTTCCTTGTCATTATCTAGCCTACCACACTAAAAGACCAGTATCTATTTGTTTTGTTCTTAGGTGTGTGTGTGTATGTGTATAAATGTAAGCATGTGTTTGTGAGT